TATTAATTGTTATTAATTTCCTTGCATTGTTATTCATGTAGTTTATTATTCGTCATTTTCTTAAAACGCTTCGTATTGAGCGGAGCGGTTGTTCACGCGTCAAAAGCCGGGCGTCCGAGCCAACGCTCGTGATTCGTAGATCGCGCCAATCGAGCGCTCCGATTGGTCGAGGTTTTTTGTTAATAACTCTTCAACCACGCCTCGGATAACTTTTTCGCTAAGGAAAATGTTGTTTGAAATTACGTCAGGAACCTGCCATTTCAATATCTTAGACTAGTTTTGTGACACCCTTTATTTATACAAGATGACTGGTTAACCCTTTCCGTACTTTAACGAGTCTGACTTGTGATGAACATGTCTGACATGAAATAAACGTGTAGAAATGATTACCCTATGCGAGATTAGGCGTAACCTGTAGCCTAGCGATTGACCTGTATCTTCGTCTGTCTTCTCGTTCACTAACTCAGGTGTGGTTTTCGAATCGGCGGGCAAAGTGGCGACGCGAAGAGAAATTGCGTACGCAACGGAGGGACAACCCCCAGCATCAGCAACCGCAACAGCAACAGCAACAGTCGCAGCAGCAACAGCAACAGCAGCAACAGCAGCAGCAGCAGCATCCGGGCGGGGTGAGTTTGGTCGGCGGCGGACATCCGACACCCCCGCCAGCGTCCAGCATTTTGGCCGGACAACCACCACCCCAGGCACCGCCCTCGCCGCCTAGGATACACCATGGTTTCGCGCCCACCGCTGTTTACCCTGGGATACCCAGCATGCCTGACTCGTACAGGTGAGCAACGATTCGCTTTATCAATGAACAATTCTCACATCCACAGAAAATCTCAGTGAGAAAATTACTGCCTGACTTTTAAACGATCAGACCTCATCGCATTTAAGTACAGGTTGATTCATTTTTAACACTAGATTGCCCAAGGAAGTGATTTTGACTGGTTTTGGGCAAATGTACAAATAATAATGCATAAATTATTTTTTTTCCCAAGTGAAGTAAATT